GCCCCATGGGATCTTCTGGTGATATCACCAGTGGAGTGCTCCCAAAGACATTAGTGCATCTCTTGGAACACTACATGTATTAATTAGTCTTACTAAAACGCAACTTCCAGAAACTGAGATATGAAATGAGAGGTGACTAACAAGTCTTTGGCACTACATGCGGTTGTTTGGAATAATCAGCTAACAAAGACCTTCAAATTGTTTTGATGGTTTGAACATTTCAGTTCTCATTTCAGGTCCTTGCAGGAAAAGAGCATAGTTTGTTTGTTAAAGGTTTATCTTTGAACAAGATGCATGCTAAGACTATACACCATCAGGTTCCTTCACTCTTTCATACTAGTCCCTGGCTGTCTCCACTGCACACACACTAGTGCACTCCCAGGCTTTTACCTGAAGTAAATCTATTATTTTGTCTGGGAAACCTGAGTGCAGAATAGCAGAGAGAAGATACGAAGCACTCCACTGTCCCCAGGGATGAGGGCTCTTCCCCTGGCCCAGGGACAGGAAAACCACGTTTTGTCTGGCATTTCGGAATTTTAACACTTCATTGGTGTGACAAGCTACGAACTCAGGGTGTAAAGATCTTCACTTTGCTTTAGGGCACGTAGACATGAGAACCAGGTGTAACCAGAGTAACATTTGAAAGCCAGCTGGCTCACAGGAGCTTGACTGCTGAGAAAAGAGATAAAAATGACCTGAAACCCAGACAGGTTCGGACAGGAGTCACAACTGGGTCCATGAGAAAATTCTTAGCTAACCCACCAGACCTGTCTGGATTTTCATACATCAGTTTTCTACATTACAAATTTTGTATACAGACTTTGCTGCCAGACCACAAACCCATTCCGCAAACATGTGTTTAAAGCCTGGGACATAGGGCTCCTTGGAAAATCTCGCTGTTTGAGCCCCCTCACTGTAAATTAAGATTAATATCTCCATGACAGTATTTATTACATATATACCATGTAAGCACAAACTTAACGCTCAAATTCTTATTGTTGTCAACACTCACTGTAAGCAATTATTTTCTTGTATGAGGTAGAGACTTCCCATTTTCTAACTTCTGTCTGTTGTCTCTTCTCTTTCTGCTAGACACATCTAAGAATAGTCTGGCTCCATCTTTTTTAGATCCTCCGATTACTTATTTGTAGAAAGCAGTTCCTGGCCCAACCATTTATCGAAAAGCCCAACTAAAATTCTGGTTAAATTGTACCTTCTTCACCACCCTCTCACCAATGAAATAAATCTTCCAAACTATGTAGTTCAGCCCATGCCCATGATTATTTTTATTCACTTTGCACAGACCTCAAGCTATAAACTGAAAACATTTTCCAGAAGGTAAAGCCTTGATGTTCAGACATTCCTTTTTATATGCCAAAAGGACACTTTCATGGAGACCAACTCATCTGAGTCTTTTCCATAAAATTTACCACAAAGAAGCTGACTAGAGACTTTAGCACATTACAACTTGATGTGCTGGGCAACAGCTCAATTTAAGAAATGAACAGACAACCCTAACAGGTAGTCAAGCTAATAAACATAATATTTGTCATTTAACACTGCAAGATGCCTGGGGTAATAAGGAACCTCACAGGACCTCCTCAGGTTTTGTTTCAGGGTTTTTTTTCCCCAACCTTTTTCCTACATTTACATCAGATTTCACACTTACATACTATATCTATTCATTTTTGCCACAACAGACTCCAAGCTCCAACCTCACATAGAATCACAGAATCGTCTCGGTTGGAAAAGCCCTTGCAGCTCGTCCAGTCCAACCATGAACCTCACCCTGACTGTTCCCAACTCCACCAGATCCCTCAGCGCTGGCTCAGCCCAACTCTTCAACCCCTCCAGGGATTCAGGGGACTCCCCCCTGCCCTGGGCAGCCCATTCCAACGCCCAACAGCCCCTTCTGCACAGAAATCCTTCCTCAGAGCCAGCCTGACCCTGCCCTGGGCAGCTTGAGGCCATTCCCTCGGGGCCTGGCGCTGGCTCCTTGGCTCCAGAGACTCAGCCCCCCTCTCTGCCCCCTCCTGGCAGGGAGTTGCAGAGGGCCAGGAGGTCTCCCCTCAGCCTCCTCTTCTCCAGACTGAACCCCCCCAGTTCCCTCAGCCGCTCCCCAGCAGACCTGTGCTCCAGACCCTGCCCCAGCTTCGTTGCCCTTCTCTGGCCACGCTCGAGTCATTCAATGGCCTTTTTGGGGCGAGGGGCCCAAAACTGAACCCAGGAATCGAGGGGTGGCCTCACCAGTGCCGAGTACAGGGGTCAGATCCCTTCCCTGTCCCTGCTGACCACACTATAGCTGACACAAGCCAGGATGCCATTGGCCTTCTTGGACCCCTGGGCACACTGCTGGCTCATTATCAACCCCCCCAGTCCCTCTCTGACTGGCAGCTCTCCAGCCACTCCTCCCCAAGCCTGTAGCCCTGCTGGGGGTTGTTGTGGCCAAAGTGCAGAACCTGGCATTTGGCCTTACTGAAACTCATGCCGTTGGCTTCAGCCCATGGCATCAGCTTGTCCAGATCTCTCTGCAGAGCCTCCCTACCCTCGAGCAGATCAACACTCCCACCCAACTTGCTGTCATCTGCAAACTTACTGAGGGGGCACTCAATCCCCTCATTTAGATCATCAGTAAAGATGTTAAACAGGAGTGGCCCCAACACCAACCCCAGGGGACACCACTTGTGACCGGCTGCCAACCGGATTTAACTCCATTCACCACAACATGTTACAGTCTCCTTGGCATTACCAGCTGTTATTACCATTTTAGACTCCATGCAATACCATACTGATTACTACCACGTGAAGGCACCCAAACTCCAGAGAATTCCTTTGATCTTTTCCAAGAACAACCAAAAGCATTATCATCGTTACTATCTTTTTGTATTTATCAGTCTCATGTCACCGATTCTATAAAGATATAATCCTCAGAGTTAAAGTCTGCAATACCTTTTACATGAATAGGCAAAACCAATCATGGGGAAAAAAATAGGGCAAATTTCACATCTTGTCAAACAGTACAAGTGTTTCCCATAACCTCTAAGGGGATCAGAGCTAAAAAGACACTGAACAGAAGCAAACAACATACCTGTTCCCTCGTGCAGTAGCTGTAGGAGTTACTAAAAGGATGTTTGCAGCTACATTGGCTGAGTGTCCTCATGTTGCCTCAGTTCTCAGGATGTATTTCTTCTCATTGCTCATCTTAGTCAGCAACATCTGCATTGTTTCAATTCTCCATTATGCTCAGTAATGTAATTTTGGTACATCTGCTATCATATTCTGGGTTTTAATAAACTGGTCTTCTCCTTGATCTTCTCATCACATTTCTTCATTCCCTGAACCTACCATAAACCCTGCAATATCAACCAATCTGCTTCTACAATTCTTCTCAGGCAGGTTTCATTAAAACCTCCAGCTGTAGAACTAATGTCACTAATATAGAAATAAATTTAAAATCTCCACACCTGGCAATCTTGCACTGGCACTACTCAGAATCCTACCAAACCCAAACCACTTAAGGAATTTGCACACAGCCATTCTTTCAGCTTCACCTTTGAAAGTCTCTGTGATGATACATTAATTTCTAGATCGATGTCAAAAATCTCTGTTCGTGCCTGCCTCCTTCACAACGTAGCTCTCCACATGGCTAAACCTAGACTGTAGAAATGCCTTAGTATAGTTCTTAAAAACAAAATTCCACACTATCAGTTTATGCATTTCTTCCTATTAATTAATGGCCAGAGTTACTGGCATGATATACCAGAAATACTACAAAAATAGGTCTACTTAAATGGCCTAAGCATGGGCAACAGCCTAGCTCTTAAAAAACAGGCAGCCAGAATATTTTTTTTCCCCTGGAGCCATCTTTCATGTTAGTTAGGCTAAGATAAAAACTCCACGCAATATCCATAAAACATATTTGCACAAAATATTAGAAAAAGAGGGCCATGATGAGAGCAGGACATGAACAGACCTAATTGCTTTAAGTCTGAGTTTTCCATGAGATCTCACAAGAGTGTACACTACAGCCACCTTCAGCTTTTCTTCATGGAGTTGTGAATCAGCTACTAAACAGCAAAGCTAAGAGCACATCTGAAGCCTGGACAGTCACAAAATATAGATAGATGTCTTACTGCTGCCAGAATATTTGACATTAAGTTCATGGTTTAAAAGAGCAAGCGTCGATCATTTTCTGCTTTTAAAAAGTCCAATTTTCTCAGCACCCAGAATTAACCATCCAAAACCTCCGCAGGGCACCTAAGAACCCCCCCAAATACTCCCCCTGCCCCCATGAAGGCACAGCCATGCACAAAAACCACGCTAACGCCAAAAAGGGCCAAACTGCACTCCAACCCAATCAACTCAAGCACATCCCCGCTCTGGCGTGCGGTGTGAGGGAAGGTTCACATCTGTCTCCATGTCTTACTCACAGCCAGTGTAGATACAGATTTTTAATCCTAAAGGTCCCCTTTTCAGGAAGGGCCCATCCCTTCAATTTTTCCCTCCCACCCCATCCACACCACAGCACATATAAAACCACCGCAGAGGGATGGCCCGAGCTGCGGTCGCCAGAGTACTCCATGTTCACCTGGTGCTGCCCAGCACCAGCACCCCGAGTAAAAAAGGGCTGAGACAACCCGAAAGCAATTCACTATAGACCAGTGAAAGCCTTATCTACCCCTTTCTCCATCAGAAACACGAAACCGGCTTTAAAAATGAATTAAGGGCAGCGGGAGCCGCCCGCGCAGCCCCCGGCGCCTCACAGAGCTGCTCTCCCGCCCGCCACCTGGGCTCGAGCCACAGCCCCTTCCCGCCACACCGCCCTCAGCCAATCAAAGACCGCCGCCGCCAGCTTTTCTATTTTTAAAGCCCGCCTCTCCTTCGCTGTCCACCAATCGGGATGCTCCTCTCGTGAAGCTG